TGAATATATATGATAACAGAGGAATGAAAGCCAAGAGGATGAAAAGTTTAAGTAGCTTGATTTTGAAGAGAAAAGAGAGGATGAGATGATGGAGAGGTTCAAAAGGAAGAAAGCAAGCAAAAGACTACAGGTAATGATTCCTTGCTCCTACTTACCTTCTCTTTATGTTACTAACTTCTAGACATCAAGATTGAACCTTGAGATCTTGATCTTGTGATTTGACTTGACGGAGATGGCAAGGGAGTTTTAAATGAGCCGCTTTGTTTCTAATAACATTTCTTATTTTCCTTTTTCTTTTCTTTCTTTTGGTGCAAAGGAGATTCAATGAAAGAAGTCTGGGAAATTTTCTACTGGATATATGGCTTTGTTGTATCAATGACTAAAAATCTAACTTGGAGGCAAAAAGTATGGACCATCCAAGGAGAAGTAATGTATTCCCCTCTTTTCTTCGACTTTTTACAGGTTCCTTTTTGAGCCTTTATGCTTAATCAATAAATCTTTAGATATTAGATTACTAAGTTTGGCTTTTAATAACAGGTGACTGCAACCAAGAGACCCATGAATAGTGCTTTAGAAGCTGATCTTGATCTTGATATGACTAAAAAGGTTACATCCTTGATTGAGGAGATGATCCGGTAAAGGATCCTTAAAGTAAATTAAAAAGCTGAGATTCCATCAATATGGTCTTTTACTGCGATACTCCGTGTATTTTATTCAATGATGGGAGGCTTTTGACATTATTTGTCTAAAATACTATGGGCTAAGCTGATTTGTGCATAGAGCCACTTGATTTTAACTTTTTTATATTACGTAGCCTTCAAATACACTCCAGTAAAACCACATGTATTTGTTTTTTCTAAGTTATATTTATGTTGATTATAGGGACGTTTTGATCACCGTCAAAGGAATAGGGAACTAAAAGAGTTGGTAACCTCAATTTCCATAAAATAAATAGAATATTGAGATTTAGTTGCTTTCTAGCTATATTGGTAGCTTAGTTAATCATCATCTCTATTATGTATTCGGGAAAAATTTATGAGATATGTATTCTTCTTTACTATCATGCATTGTTGATTTATCTAAAATTGGTATTTTTATTACTAAAAAGTCCCTATTGTTTTTGTCGATTGTTTACTTAAAAACTCCCTTTTATTTCTAAATTATGTATAGGAAAAATGTATTTAGAAGACAGTCCTACTTCTTCTCCATTATCATTCAAAGATGAACAGAAAATAGGCATGCTTTAATCGTTAGCTTCAATTTTATAAGTTCCATCATTTTCAAGCTACATGTTTTTGTTGTTATGGATGAATGGTGAGAAAGAGGAACAACTTGTGTCGTCAACTAATGCATTGGTATTTTTGGGAAATATTATTATTTCTCATCATGTTCTTTAGCAGGGATTTATGGAAGAAGAAAGAATTATGTCAGATTAAAGCATGTTGAGGAATATTAAGACTATATAAGTAATATTGTAAGGATAAAATTTTATTATTTATATTTTAATGTTTATTCCCATATATGTGCCGTAACATTAGGGGCGTTAAATCTTTGGCTTTTCTTTTATTTTAGTAGGATAGAGAAATTTGAAGATAGTAAATTTGGATTCACTTATGTGAGAACTCGAGATTCATGGACATTAGTGCAGTTTGAAGTTTTAGAAAAGGAGGAGCTTAGTAAGTGGATTCATTAGCTTTAACCTTACAATGCCACTCTTTCAGTTTATCCGCTAGATAATGAAGCCCTATATGATATCTTTTTAGGACTCTTAAATTAACAACTCCCAGCTATAAGCCTTGTGCTCACTTTATTTATCTCTTAAAATTATGCATTAATTGAGGGTTTCTTGTATTTTTCTTTTATTGATTAGAGAGGTATTAATCTGCTAATATGATACAAGGCAAATCACGTAGTGCCTATTAATATTTGCAAATTATCATGTGCCAAACATGCCCCTTATGGTCTTTTTAATGTAAATGCAAGGCAAACTTTAACTGTCCAGACTTAAACATGGTCTGTTGCAATTTCTCTAATTTGTGATATAAAAGTGGTGATGGAATAAGGCATTAACCTTCTTTGAAGCTATTGACAAGTTTTTTATGTTTATATGAGATCTAGGTAGTAGAGTTATGCCTTTTGTTTTGTGGATTGTAATATTAGGCTTCCTTAGTGATAAATTTTATTTGGTATATACAGATTGAGAATACTGTAATAAGTTTTTATGCTCAAGTTAGACCATGGTGATAATCTGACCGCAAAATTATGGGTATGCTTTATGGGTTTAAAAGAGCATGGGAGAAAAGGTGTAGAAAGGTTTTGTTGAAAAGTGATTGTGCTGTGGCTCTTAAGATAAGTAGGGCTCGCTACAGCGAATGACATGCTGATAAAGACATAATTCTTGAGATCAAATCACTTCTTTAGAGAGAATGGACAGTGGACGTTACGCATATGGAAAGACAGTTGAACATGGAAGTTGATTACTTAGTGGAAAGAGCCTTGTCTTCTCCCTTTGGCTTTCCTCATATTGCTAGGAACTCCATTGAAGGTTTCTTTGGTGGTGATAGTTTGAGTTAATTTTGTTGTCTTTCGTTTTTGCTTTCCTTTATGTGTGTGTAAAATACTGCGATTATAAGTTTACAATATTATGGTAAGGATTGTTCTTCTTTTGCTTTGCTTTTGCATCATTGAATATATAAATTTCTTTGTTCAATGGGAGCACTCATGGTGTTGCAGGACACATTTATTTTGTAGCTTCTTATTCTAATGTACGTTGAATGAGATACTGAAAATTGTAATAAATTTACATGTTTATACTAATTTTTGTTTAAGTAATTTTTTTTATACAATGTTCAAGTACGCTTAATCTGAATTATACAGTTAGTACATGTAAAGTTTATTTTACATGTACAATTATTGAGTATAACTCATTTTAAATTTGGCCCAATTCTAATATTGAATTCAATTCAATATCACTACGGAGATACAGGTCTAGCATTACAAAATCTTAATTATCATACGTACTTACATGAAACCATTGCAAGTTGACTATAACCAATGTTAAAATCCTCCTTTCATAGAACTTTTGTGCAGAACATTCTACAATAATTCTAATCTTCATTTTATATAATTTTGAAGTAGAATTAATTTATACATAATTCAATTAGACATTACTGATAATCTCTTGGGCTAGGTAGTAAAAGCCAGCTGCATTCAAAATAAAAATGGCTATTTGTTAAAAAAATAATTGTTTTAGTATAATAAGGATGTGAAGTTCATAAAATTGTATAATGGAGGCATTATATATAAATTTAAAATATGTGCCCAAGATACATAAAGACATTATGTTTAAAATGAAAAATTATAGAATATAATATCATAAATAGGTAGTTAACAATTTCAATTTCCTTACGTGAAAGGTACCGAAACAAACAAATCTTGCAAGTAATAAATTATCTATGAGTTAATCATTATATTTGATCAATATTTATATATAATCTTTTATTGTATTACATGGGGAAGTAAAAACAGGATATGTGGCATTGTCAAGGTAAGAAACATGGATGATCTGTAGATTTTGATGCGTGATCATGAAAATATTAATCAAAGAACAACCACAAATGTTATTTACTGAGATTTTGAGGGCTTGGGCTCATAAAATATTATATATGCATTCTAATTGTCATCTATTTTACGCTCGATTCCATTAAGTTGTAGTAATGGATTAATATTTCTTTATTATTAATAAAGGTTGTGAGTAGATGGGATTTTTTTTTTGTTGGATAGGAATGCCTTTTATTTTGTAATGAAGTAATGATATTACAACTAATATAGTATTAATACAAAAATTATAAAGTGTGATATTTAATTTGATATAATTTTTGCTCCCCGTGCGCTTTATTATTAATGAAGGCTGTGAGTAGATGAGATTTTTTTTTTTGTTGGGTAGGAATGCCTTTTATTTTGTAACGAATTAATGATATTACAACTAATATAGTATCAATATAAAAATTATAAAATGTGATATTTAATTTGATATAATTTTTACTCCCGTGCATCGCATTATTTTACTGGAGATGCGGGGTATCGATCCCGCATGCTAAGCGAGAGCGCTCTACCATCTGAGCTACATCCCCACGATGCTAAAGGGCTTTGCTTTAGTTCAATTCTCATCGTAATTTATACTTTTCACATCCCACTATATTTAACTAAATGGTATTCTGGTTTTCTATGCTGAATTCAAGAATTATAAATCCCCAACAGATAACAATCATTTGGGAGCAAGGACGAAGGTTCAAAGATTAAAATGTCAAATTAACAAATTTTAAAACTTCAAAAACATTTAGCTAGAAATAAAAATTGTTAAATAATAATTGTAAACCAATAATGTCTTAACCTCCTCAGTGTGCCTTTGTTTTTTTTTTTTTAATTATCTCTTTACTTGGGGCCTTGCTTGATGCTGGGTTGCCTCCAGAATTTCTTTGACCCTTGTTTGCATTTGCTCACTGCTCACACTGGGCTGAGTTCGGCCTCCAAATGAGCCAGGCTCTTAATCTCATCTTTAAGCAAATTGAATCAAGAACTTGAAAAGGACTTTGTGAAAAGCGCAATGCCATTTGCCAATCACTATCACATTTTGCAAAATTAATCTGATCTTGAACAACTTCTATCACAATGCTTTTCAACTTCCAAGATAAGTTTTTGGTAATTCTAATTATTCAATTGTCATTTTTTACGTCTATCAAATAAAAAATAATAATTTGAAAATTGAAACAATGCCCTTTGTGACTTATTTTTTTAATAACTAAATAAATAATTGGGAGGTAGAATTTCATCTTCGTTTATGAACATCTCATGTGGGTTATTTTTAAGTATATTTTTTTTCCTTTCAGTTTATTTTTCAAAACAAATGTGGACACAAAAATGAAAAGACGTCATCTTGCTTGTTACCTTTTATTCCGTCCATGAAGTAGGTAGGACTCAGCAAAGTATATGGGATTTGCACGTGTTTATAAGTAGAAAGAATTTTACAAGCATTATTGTTATATTTTTAATTTACTTCTATAGATGGCTATGCAGAAATAATGCTGAATTGACATACATTGTACATGACAGATTAAGCTAGCACAAGAAATCTGGTCTCCACATTCCATTTTTTAAATCTCAATTAACATTCGGTGATTCTGTCACACAATTCAATCACCAATTTGCTTTCGGTGTTGATGAATTCGGCCATGTGAAAGTTCTTGGATCACATAGAACCTGCAACGCTATTGTCATATCTTGTATTTGCTATTCTTCTGCCAACAAGATCCTTCAACTCAATTTCACCTGGGAATCTATTCTCCTTCAGCTTGGAGAATATCTGCAATGTACAGCAAAACAAAGACCTTAAATTCATATGGAATGAAATCAAAACCTACATTCATATGATGTGCAATCTCAGAAGAAAATCGATGAAGGCATGACTTACCAATTCACCGTTGCAGTACACTTCAAAAGCACCAGAACTCTGTAGGAAGGATTGAATAAAATTCCCAAGAAGCCAAGTGCTTGCTATACTTCCAAACCTATTGGCACGCAATGAGTAGTACCATGAAGGTGGTGTCATGATTCCCAACTTAGGAAATATCTGTTCACCTGCCACAATAAGTCCAATAATTCCAAGTTGCACCACTGGTATCGCATTGCTAAGCACGCGTTTGGTAAGTGGCGGTGGGTAGTTAGCTAAAACAACGTCAATCCCAGGAAATGCTGTTTCCAGCAATTGCTTAGATGTAACTGCATTTCCTCTGCAAAAGAAGTTCTTGATTCTCTCAGATATTTTATAAATGAAACTAGCTCGAAAGAATGCAGCTGGACAAAATTGAATCACGAAGTTGAAGGAAGATTTTCAGTTGGAGACACTTCAAAAGTCCAAATTTAGTGGAAAGGAACTGTTTTAATTTCCTCAGGAGATGGTTGACGTGGGCAAGCAATCAATGTTTACTATATATCTCTAGTTAGGGAGAGCTACTATCAATAGGGTAATGAAAATCATATGAAATATCATAATGCTAATTTAATGTCTGAGGTTTCTGTGTCAAACCATTGCAAGTTCATTTTGAGGGCCCGGTTGGACTTCACTTTTTCAAGCTAAAAGGCAGTGAGGGATTTAGAAAAATTAGTCTGTGGGGCAAAATTTGTACATAAGATAAATATTAATATTATTAATAAATTAATTATAATTGTTTATTAAATTATGTTAAATATAAAATTTATTAAAATTAAATGCTATTAAAGAACTATACATAAAATATAAAATTACAATAATATAAAAATTATATATCTATTAGAATAATGTTTTTCATTTTAATAAATAAAACTTGACTCTCTTGAGTTTTAATCAATAAAAGAGAGTTCAATTGATAAGGACTTCATTCATGATCCTCTAAGATCAATCTCATCTAAACTTTTTTGTGCTAACAAAATTAAACTCTTTTGTACAATATACATTTTTTGTGATAAAATTTTCAATTTAAACAATCAAAGAAAATTATTTTCTAAATTATTTTTCCCTTCTTTTTAAAACTCTATCCATTTAAGGTTAACATGCATAAATAAGATCTTGATCAAATAAAATTTTTAAAAATTAGTGAAAATTTTAATGGGATCACATAAATTTTCTTTCCTTTTTTAAGGGGGTAAGGACAGATGAAATTTTTAAATGAATATAAATAAAATATTTAAGGTCATTATGTATTTTTTTTTTAGGCTTGTGGCCCCTACTATGTTATAAGTAGATCTCTGTCCTTGCTAAAAGAGCTTTTGAAAAATGAACTAAAGTTTGACTACCTTTTAGGTTCAGTTTGCAAAACCCAAAAAATATATATATATATATATATATATATATGAAAAGTCAGTTTTGTCGACGTGAGTAGGTTGTTTCTTTTTTCTTTTTTGTTTTTGGCAAAAGTGAGTTTAATTTGACAAAAGTTCGTTTTGCAAACCAGATATGAAACATGCATTGAATCTCAACTCTGAAAGGAACAAAACCAAACTGTTGCAAGACTTTTACCCCTAGGTGAAAAGGAAGCATAAGAAAAGAAAAGAACAATGAGAAATGAGTAATGAGCATAATGTTGACATTTGACACGAGTTTTCATCCACTTTGAAACAGTTTAAGCCTGGAGAAATGGATGGTGATATGCACTTCATTGAGACTAGGAATCCCAATCAACTGCAAAGGCATCGTGTGGTTGGCTGTCATGACACCTACATTGAGAGTCTTACAAATCGCGTAGAGTTAATAAATGTGGGAGATTCTCTTACATTTATAATTCTCACATTACTTATAAAACTAATAAATGTAAAATTCATGGCATTGGCAAATTGTCACAAGTCTAATTCTAACTGTGTCAATATAAAATCAGTTCAACATCAATCATTAATACCCCCTATTTGGTTAATGTAAATGTTTTGTTTTAAAACTCTCATTAATTATGCATTGAACAGTCCTTAGATTGCAGATAATGCAGCTGTGAAGCATGAAGCAATCGATAACATGGCTAGATGCTCGCTCAAAGTCAATGAAATTTCAGCAAATGCTATTTAGCTTCTTAAAAGGAAAGACAAGAAAAGCAATAATGTGCTAAAGCTCAAAGTAAGCAAAATCTCTCTGGATTTAATTAAATTGAAAATGAAACAGAGAAGTCACGCTGTTAGACGAACCTGTAAGAACAAGAAGTGCAGAAGTCAATGTTAACAGTGTTGCCGACCCCGATCGGTGGGACAATGGTGACCTGTTTCTGCATCGAAACCAACAAATCACCGACCCAAACTTTCAATTCGAATCAGTAACGGTAGAGTTTATGAAAAATTGAAAAACCTGCGTGGGAAATTGCAGGGATTGCTGAAGATGCGGCTGAGGCTTCGTGGGAATCGGAGAGTGTTTATGAGAAATCGGCTTGTGAGGGGGAGGAGAGAGAAGGTTCATAATGTCTGAGCAGAAGAGCAACATCGGTAAGCCCACCAGCAGAATTTGATTTCGATCCATTGGAATGGCGATGCAACGAATTAAAGATTGAGATTCTGGTGATTCCAAATCTGATCTGGTTTCTCTGAGGGTAAATCACAATGGCATTTGTTTCGTAAATCACTATCTGAGATCGTTATTAAGATCCGGTGTTGAAGATAGCAACCCGAATTATTTGCAACTGTTGCCTGTTGGATCCGGCTAGCCGGAATAGGGCCAATGTGCATGGAAATATTTAAGTTTCTTTTTTTTAAATATAATACTATAATCTGAAAAACACTACATTTATGTATTTGACAATTCAAAGTATAAATAAGGTTTCTTTTAATAATAAAAAAATTATTTTATACTGATAACGCATATCATCAATAAAGATACAAATTTTAAATTGATATATTATATTATTTACTTTGGAAGTAGCACTAATCACGAATTTATATTTTAATAAATTTTATATATCATGTGTAAATCATTTTTGTTTTTAATTTTGAGCTACTTTTTCGAAGATGGAAAAAATCTGAATATTTTGGAGACATGGTCAGGATGTAAGAATTTGTTTCCTTACAAATCTCATAATCTTGTAAGTGTGTGCTGCCTGCACATTTTTAATTATTTAAATTGTTAACATTTTTATTTTAAATTTAAATCACTTTTAAAACACGATAATTTAATCATAATAAATTATTTCTAACAGTGATATATTTATAATTTTTTAAAAAATAGTAAAAGTAATAATAATGTCAGAGTCATTTAAGTCAACAAAAATTAAAAAACATATGCACAGGATATTTTAATATTTAAAATATAAAAATAAAATGAAATATATAAATTAAGGAAATAACTTATTTTTGTGTAATCAAAATATCATAACTTTTTAATTTATATAAATTAAAATTTGAATAATTTATTCTATATTAAAAAAATTTGTCCATACATATTAAAGATACAAATAATTACTCATTTTATATTAAAATGTTATTATTCCCGATATAGATTTTCACTTTTCCTTTGATTAATATGTGAAAAAATTTTGAAATCAAATTAAAAATTATACTTTCTACTAAGTACTCCCCCCACCCCAATATTTAATTAAAGAAAAAAAATTTCCCACAAGAGATATTCCTTAATTCAATTTTAGTTGTTATGTGTAAATTAAAATCTAAACAGAAATTTTTATTTTGCAATATGATCCCCTTATCATTACAGCAACTTTTTAATATACATTGAGGTCTTGCATATATTAAAAAACATAAATATTTTTTTATAATTTCTCGCCTCCCACATATTGAAATATAATTAACTTCTTTTCTTTCAAAATTTGTTGGCCATGTATCATTCAAAAAAATTAATCTTTTAGTCCTCCAACTTTTAAGTCACTTGTAACTCAGTCCCTCAACTATGACTCGCTGTGACTTAGTCCCTCAACTATAACTTGCCTATGACTCAGTCCCTCAACTTTTCAATCACTTATAAATTAGTCCCTTAACTTTTGTTAATTTTTTTTTCATGTTAACTTCTATCTCACATTAATGAATAAGAAGAGAGTATTTTAAAATAATATATGAGCATTTTTTACCCCTCTTATTTGATAAAAAAATTTAAAAAAAATTAAAAAATAAGGACTGAGTTATAGGTAAATCAAAAGTTGAAGGACTGAATTGCAGCGAGTTATAGTTGAAGGACTGAGTCGCAGCGAGTCATAGTTGAGGGACTGAGTTACAAGTGAGTTAAAAGTTGAAGGATTAAAAGATTAATTTTTTCAAAAATAAAATATACACTGTAATAAACTCTATGATATAATCTATGTCATAATAGTATTTGTAAATTACAATTATAGTCAAAATTAAAAATAAATAAAAAATATGCATATATTAAATAATATTTCTAAATTAAGCAAATAGCATAGCCAACATTATAGTACTTCCTTATATCTTATGTATAGATTACTTTCAACTATCTTATTGTAATGAAGGAGGCGCAATTAAATCATTAATTAATTTTGTCTAAAAAAGTAAAAAGTTCAATTCACCTTTATTAAATGTATCATGTTAAAAACATAAATAACATACTCCGTACATATTACAGAAGTTATATATAAAAATTTTATTACTCTATGTATGGTAAAAAATATAAAGAATAATTTATTGTTCTAAGATATATTATTCACTCATAAATTAAAATTTACATAATAAAAAATTTTATTTTATAAATTGTTATTTACCATTGTATTTTATTTTACTATTTATTCTCTTTATATATATATATATATATATATATATAACATACAATCTTTTTTGCTGCTTGTTGATTTGTGGGCAAATAATAATATTTATATTGTTTATGATTATGGTTCTCATAGGACTAAAAATGAAATTGATTGATGTTGTTTTCTTTGTTTTAGACTGTTGTTTGGTTTTTTTTTTTATTGTTTTTCTTGTTTTTGATTGAGTTGTATGTTATGTTGTATCTAGGTTATTTTGATTGTTTGTTGCTTTGACTATTGGTGTTTGTAATTTTTTAGTGATTAATAAAATTAGTTCTTTTTTGGCAAAAAAAAAAAAACATATGATAGGTTTGTCATCTCTCAACTTTACTATTAGCCACACATGATCCTTCAACATGCAATATTTTTTCTTTTTAAATAAAGACTTGTTTGGAACTTTTTTGTTTTATTTCAAGAACTAATGTAAAACTTGTTTTGAGAACAAAAAACTTGTTTGAATATTTGTTCTAAAGAAGTATATTTAAAAACTAAAAATATAAAAACCTGTTTGATAAATTGTTCTCAAAATATGCTTTGAAAAAAAAAACAAATAAAACTTGTTTGATTAACTTATTTTACATAATTAATATTAGCATGATTTTTATATTTGTTTAACATTATATTATACTAGTTAAACATACAAAACTTGAATAAAGAAAAGAAGATGAACATATTCATGAATGATAATGATTTGCAAATTACAGCAAGAGAATCCTTTACTTGAAGGGTTATACAAAGGACCCCAAAACATTTTGAGGTAAAACACATAAAGATATCTTTCACCCTACATATATAACCTTCTCTTTTACATTGGTCAACCAAATTCATATTTGATAGTGCTGATAGATAAAAAATTACCCAGGCCATTTCATGCTCGAAGAACAGCAACAGATATGTGAATAAAAATGGGATTTAAATTCTCTGAAATTGAAATTGGTGAATATGGGTGAAGTTTTCTCTTTTTAGTATTTGTATTTATTTTATCATTTTTTATAAAATATAAAATCTCCTCTCTCTTTCTTAAAATGAAAAGCTTCACATAGATTCACCCGTCTCAAATTCAGAGGATTTAAATCCATAAAAATGAGTTGCTCTGTCTCTCATCATATGTTAAATTAAAGAATAGCAGGCTGAAACAATGCTAAAGCAGAAAGTGGTATTTGAACAATATAAGCAATTCTTATCATGCTAAATCTTCTTAGACATTAGCACATAACTATTGGCAACAAATCATGGAAGACATATAGTCTAGGACGAAGTAAGTTACAAAAAGACATATACCACAGTCAACAGCCACTGCAAACACCCCAGTGAAATATTGAAATCCTTCTTGGAAACATTTCGACTAAATGTGGCCTAGGAAGAAGTAAGCTACAAAAAGATACAAAGAATCAGAATTTCATCAGTTTTAGATTCATGTGAATCCAATCTTCGAAGTACTCATTAGAGACAACAATAAAGCCCTTGTTTCTTCCGGGTTACCTGCTGCAATATTTACAAGGCACCAAGCAGCCTCAAGAAACTGTTCATCTAGGGAACCAAATGCAAGACATTGAGCTAGTATGAGTATTGTTCCAGCTTTGACAGCAGCCTCAACAGGAGGAAATTTAAATCTTGACAGCAAACGCCTTAGTTCTTGAAGGGCACTCACTTGATAAGCAATGGCAGACTTCAATTCTTCTACTGCCAAAAATCAATTGTTCATCATCCATTATCATTTCACTATCAAGAGAAACTAGCTATCGTGGATTATGGTTCGAACTATCACAGAAAAAAGAGAGAGAGTCCTTCTATTCTATGGAGACACTTATTGGGGTTCTATGGGTTTGTTTTCTCTTCTTTAGTTAGTTTGTTTTTCTGAACGTTCAGGAAGCTGTTTCTATTTTTACAATCCAACAGAATCAAACAACAATCAAAACCAAACAGAGGGAAAAAAAAACAAAGCAAGAGTAAGAAGCAAAAACAAAATCAAGCGAAGAACCAAAGGGACAACCAGAGTCAGACAGCAGAAAAATGAAGAAACAGAAGCGAATCAGTGAACATCAAACGAAGAGAATGAAACAGCCAAATCGAACAAGAGTAGAAGGAAGAACCAGTCGGAAATAGAAAGAACGCACCCGGTTTACGAAGCAGAGTCGCCAGCAGCTGGTTCACGAAGCACGGGGAAGTTTGAAGGAAGAAGAATGAAGGCAGCAGAGGCACACGGTGGCAGTGACGAATCCAGAAACAGGCATAAGGGGGGCAAAATTGAAAATTATTTAAAATATGGCGGCAAACACTAACTTTTACAATTTTAATAAGAAAAATAAAAAAAAATTCCAGGGGTAGTGAATTTTGCGTTTTTTTTTTTTTTGGGGGCGGGGGGGGGGGGGGAGCACCCCTCTTGGATTTGTCCCTGCACGATGGATCACGAGCACGCACGGTGGAAGAAGAATGAGATGAAGCACGATGACGAAGATAGGAAGCGCACAAAAAAGACGGTAGATTGGGTTGGGAACATTGTTGCATTATTTACGACTTTGCCATTGATGAAAAAGCGATGTTTCCGCCTCCCATTGTTCTTCGGGGGGGGGGGGGGGGGGAAAAAACATGCAACATCTCGAAAGTGTTCCTATGTTTTTACTCTCCAAAATAATTTTAGTTTTTTTCTTTTTGGTTGGATGTTCATCCTATATAAATTTATTTTATTTATAAAATTTATATAAATTAAATTTTATAACATCACATTTTTTTTGGCAACTCTCACTTTTATTGTTTAATTTTTTAACTTATAATCACACCCCTATCTTTTTTAACCATGGTCCTACAACTATCTTTTTAAGAGCCCCACATTCTTATAATTTCTAAAATTTATCCCAACTATAATAAATAAAAAAAATAAATTTTTTTAAAAAAGTTAATGGAGTTACTAATTAAAAAACTGTTGATGAACAGAAAACCCATTAAACTTTACAATATATATAAATAATTCCTAATTTTTTTCCTTCGTATATTAAAAAATTAAAAATAATCTATTATTTAAATATATTATTTGAAATTTATTCTACAATTTAATATTTTTTCTGCATTGATAATTTATTGTTTTATACATATACAAAATATAAATAACAAATAATATCTCATGCGCATCATTTTTAACATGACACTTGTATTCACTATCATTTTTCATCATGTGTTCCACGTGATCTTTACACATACAATTTTTTTTTTAAATTTTTTACTGTTCATCGACTGTAGATAAACAATAACAAATGACAAGCTTCACAATATAAACGAATAAGAATATGAGATGAGGTTTCCCTATCTATAATAAAAAAGAACATTCATGTTATAGTTTTCTTATCAAAATATGAAAATGTTAGTCAAATGCTTGAAACTAGTATGAGGGTGCTAGGATTTAGTTTCTATAATAAGTGTTTCGAATCTTTTAATTGCAGTAATGTTTACATTAAAGTTGTAAAATTTTATCAACAATGCTTGAAAATTCATACTTAATGAAATAGTGAGTTAAATTAAAGCCTATAATTTGAGCCAAGTACGACAGGCCAACTCAAACCTGTCCGAAAAATATTAATGTCAGGCTTGCCTACATGAATTTTTTAAGAGAAAAAAATACTTTAAACCCGATCTGAATAAGCGGGGCTAAATTGGGCTCGACTCAAACAAGCCTAACCGTTGAAATTTTTAACTCAATATGTATATGGGGTTGGCAATTTTTGCCAAATTTGACGGACTAGCCCGAACTTGGCCGAAAAAGTTAGGACTTGAATTGACTATATGGGCTTTTTTTAAGAGAGTAAGATACTTCAAGCTCGATTTGAATAAGCTCGACCCATCCAAATTATTGACTCTAAGGTAAATGACTGTATTATAAATGCATTTCAAAATGTAGAGTTATAACTTGGTGTTTATCCCTCCCGAATTGTGATCTCCCACAAAAAAAATCAATAAATGTATGAGTCACTATCAAAATTTTAACAGGATAGTTTTAAAAACTTTTTAAAAAAATAAAAATAGTTTACAATAATCAGAATAGGGTTCGAGAGTTGATTGTGTGTGGAGAAGGTGTTAAGCACCCCACATTACCCGTTTGTGAGAATGGTTACCCTAATTTGACTAAACAAAATTAATATGACTTTAAATAAGATTTAATTACCCTTAATTAATAAAAAGGAAAAAAGAAGAAAATTATAATTAAAATAATTATTTATTTAAAAGTTAAACTTGACCTAAGATAAAATTCTAAAACCTACATGCCCTTTAGAGGGACAAAAGCCCATGTAATTTGAGGGTAAAAATATGTGTCAATTTGTTAGTATTTTTTTTAAAAAAAGAATTTTTCACTTTTAATTAAAGGATTTTTAATTGGATTGGTCGCTTTTAATTAAAAAAAAGCTTATTACCTTATTTAAAAGTTGGACTTGACCTAAGATAAAACTTTAAAGCCTATATACCTTTTAGAGGGATCAAAGTTTACATAATTTGAGGGTAAAAATGCGTGTCAATTTGCTAGTATTTTTTTAGAAAACGAATTTTTCATTTTAAAAAAATATTTTTAATTGGATTGGTTGCTTTTAATTAAAAAAAAAGCTTATTTCCTTATTTGATAAAGGATTTTTTTTAAAAAAAATAGATTAAAATTCCTGTAGAGATTCACAAAATCTCACACCAAAATTAATTTATTTTATATCTATGGAGATTTCAAAATCTCACATAGTATAGAAATTATTTTTTAACCTATTTATATTTATAAAAAAGGCTCTTCTTTCAAAAAAAAAAAAAGATAAAACAAATCAATTAAACACCATAATTGAAGCGCATGCGGTAGCCCATTGTCACACATGATATACTAATTGACTAGTTATCTATGAAAATTTTAAAAATCTCACACGATATAATTAAAAAAATACAAAAAAAATCTCAAATTTTTAATATAGTGTGTGCTATATAAGAGTATAATAAAATAAGTGGCTCATAAAAAAAAATAAAAGATGAAACTTTTAGAGTAACAGTTTTGATAATTATTTCAAAGGTCATTCCATGCACAACAAACAAAAGAGAGAAATGGTTAAAGTATATATCTGAGTTTGTATGTGTAAGAAAATGCATTTTCCTCTCCTGTGCTTGAAAGACTCTCTTTGATGAAAGAGAGAAAATGATCTTCCTCTTCATCGACAGGTGATTCAGCGGCAGGAAAGAAAAGAGATAAAAAAGAGAAAATAAAAAAAACTAAAAAGGAAAAAATAAAACTCAAAGAAAAGGAACGAGAGAGAGAGGGAGGCAGGTGTAGAAATAAAAAGAAACCATTAGCACCAGGCACCACATATATATATATGTGTACGTACACATGACGGGAAAAATTAACACACACACACACACGAAAGCTCTTTTTTTTTTTTTTTTTCTGAGGAAGCAGTGTACACAATAAAAAATATTAACTAAATTGTCATTAATCATATACCCTTGAACCTTCAATACTTTTAATGACCACATATATGATCACAAGGGCAATAAAAAATATTAACTAAATTATCATTAATTATATACCCTTCAGCCTTCAATACTTTTAATGACCACATATGTGATCGCAAGGGTGAGAGTATTGGTTTTCTTTAGAGAGTTCTAGAATAATAAGTAATGAATATCATCCTATTTCAAGTTACTCTATCTATTCCTAATCCCATATTATAATAAGTGAAGATGATAAAAAAAAAACATTCTCAATCTTTTCAATAAATACTCTCAAACTCCTTTAATTGCTGTCTCCTTTCTTTTTTCTTCCTCCTCCTCTTTTGCCTTAATTACCACCCTTTTATAGATGAAAATTAAGACTTTTTATTTTAATGGTTGAATCCCATCAAATTACAATTTATGATTAATTATATTTGATTTTTACCATTTTAAATCAAGACATAATTTTGGGAATTAAATTTGCATTTAACTTTTCTTAATTGAAGGCTCATATTAAAGCATAAATTTAAAAAATTTTCATTTAATTCCGTTTTTATTATTGTTTTATTAAATAAAGGCTCTTCAACTTTTTATTCCGTTATTTTTTTGTGGAGGCCTGGACGAAATAAAATATTCAGTGTTCTTTGTATCTTGTATCTACATATTCGACAGTCCATTCAATGGAATGGACAATTTCTATAATATCACTTAGACACTCAATAAATAATCAAATTTGGGACACTTACTTAATACAAATCCGATGTTACCATTAATTTAATGCAATAATGGCCAGTTGATGGTCCTCCAATAAATATTACAAAAGAAATGAAAAACTTTGAGCAGAATATATATATATATATATATACTCTTTCCGTTTAAAAATATAAAGTATTTTTCTAGAAGTTAAATGTTAAAAATATAAAGTATTTTTAGTTTTTTGAAGTGAAATTATTGCCTTTTTTTTAAAGTATTCCTATTAATGAATGATTTTATATTTATTATAGGATATTTAATAGGGATAAATATGAAAAAATAAAATTAATTTAACAGTAGATAACTATTTTATTAAGGGTGAGATTTGATTAAAAATGACTTATATTTTTTAATGGAAGGAGTATATCATTATCACCCCCATGGCCGGTTCTTCAATCAATCTTTATATCATATCAATATTTTTCATTTTTTTCAAAAACAAATCTTATCATTTGACTAGGGGATGGAATAGGATTGCCTGTGTTCTTTTTCTTTGGAAAACTTCCAGCACGTGATCTATGTTTGGAAGGGTAGTTTGAAATGGCCGGAGTGATGGAAGTATTTTAATATATCATCGGTTAGAGATACTTAACAAATAATAGGGAAGAAGAGGTAAATGGTTTAAAAATTATCAAAAACTATTTCACACTACATTTCTAAACGCCTCGTTGTTGGAAGGTTCAGATTGATATAAGTTCTTTAAAAATTTGAATTTCTCATAGCCTTTTCATCCTGTCTTTTATATATTCAATGGTTAAGATTGCAGAGATGATGCCAAAAAAGTTTGCCATTTAAATCTATTCAATTTATTCGATTAATGACATTTTGTCATCCGATTAATTAAGAACATTTTTTCAAGAAAAAAAAAAGGAAGAAAAGTTTGTCCTTCTAATTTTTCTTATCAGATTTCTCGCATCATTGCATGTAAAATACTATTGTTCTTCTCATATTTCTTCTGATTCTTCTCGCAGTATGTATTTATATTCCAGAGGATAACGCAAATGTTAAGATTTCAAAGAAGATTAATATTTTTCTTTTGGAAAATTATACCATACCCCCTTAACTTTAGCAAAAATAAAATCGTTAAGTTTTAATGTTTTGAACTAAAAAACTCTATGAGCCAGATCAAATGTTATTATCACAACTAAAATCAACTCTTCATGAGTTCAAATGCTCTGCGACTAGGGTTTAACCGTTTAAAGTTTTTATTTAGTCTAAAATTGATGAAAGCATTTAAAACAATTTTTAAAGTTTGTGTTTTATTCTTAAATCTTAATTTAATAATAACATATAATTTAAGTAAATGTTCCAAGATAGTTACCAATGGTTTCAAAATCTTGTGACCCATAGAATTGAGAAAAGAGTAATAGATAAAGATTACATATAATCTTCATATTAAAATTAAATAGTCCAAGTTGTTCCATGTGACTTATAAATTCTAATTATTTTAATTTCTAAACAATTTATCCCTGCTTAACATTAATTTATTTCTCATCGGCACATTGCATTGATGCTTCCCAAACCCCCAGAGCAAACCATAAATCAATAAATAAACAAAGAAAACATCAAGCACAACATCAACATAACAACAAATTAAAGGTTAAATCATACTTCTTAGAAATATTTAATTATAATTTTTTTTGAATTCAGTTCCTTTTAAAATTGAATTATGAGTCATGTTGATATCACTTTAATAACAAAAGATGAATGGTAATTATTTTTATTTGGATCAAAACATGTGTGGGTGTTATTTATTTATTTTTTTCAATTCCTCCGACCTATTACTATATAACTATGTTTGGATATGAATGCTAAATCGCTCAAACAAAACATGTGATTGATTATAAAAAGACCCTATTGGTCATTGGATAAAAAATAATCCTAAAAAGCAAAAGCAGCCATTAGTGATCATTCCATATCCTGTCCTTTTTCAATTCCGACCTATGTGTGAAATGTGAAAGAATAATAAAGTTAAGCAAATAAAGAAAAAATTTGTGTCACGTGCGGCACATGGGTGGCCATAGGCATGCACTACCGACCCATTAATCAAAGTGAAAACCTCCTTGGCGAGCCAGCGAGAGCAGAAGAAGAAGCAAAGACTCACGATAGGTCAACCTTAACCACACGGCGACGCCGAGAATTCTAAGTTCAAATTTTAGAATGTTGAAAAGGAACAGTAAACACGCCTTGATCTCTCTCCCTCTCTCTCTCTCTGCGCGCGTCACTCACATACAAATTTACGACGAAAATACCGCTATGCTTCTTTTATATATGAAGTCCATCCCAGACTCCCACAACAAGATCATCCAGAAGACGCAAACCTTTTCAGAGCTTTTGCCTTTTTTTTTTCCTTTTACCCTTTTGCTCTTCCTTGCTGGGAAGGGTAAGGATTTCAATATTCTATTCAGATTTGAGATTAAGAGGCTGAGGCTTGTGTAGATGAGGGAGGAGAACCTGGGAAAACCAGAGGAATAGAGGGATCAACGTGTGGTTGTTGTTGAAACACAAGTGCGCATTAAGTGTTGGATTTAATTCCTCAATTAAATTTTCTTTCTCCTCCTTGTCACAAGTTTACTAGTGTATTCAGTATTGTCCTTTTAAGATATTTTGCCTAGTTTTACCTCCTTTCTACTTTAGTTCACATATTTTCGCCTCTCTTTCTACCGTCACTTTCCCTATTTAATTTCCCATTTCCCGAGAGCCCATAGGCGAACCCTGGTCTAAAGCTAACAAGCTCCGTCTGAGTCTCCAATGGCTAGTTGGGTTTTGACAGAATGTGGGTTAAAGCCTCTTCCTCCAACATTCGCTCGACCCAGGGTTGAAGCTGTGACGTGTAAGAGCTCCAAGGTCAGATTTTTGAACGCAAACAATGGTGTCAATGAGACAGATCTGAAATTTCAGACAAGAGGCTTCACATGTAACTTCAGAGAGAGAAGAAGCTGGGAACTGAGAGTGAGTGCTCCTTTGAGGGTTGCTTCCATTGAAGAAGAGGATGAAGAAAGAAGAGAGAGAATCAACGTGGGGTTCAATGGGGCAACACAGGAAGAACCAGAATTCGATCCTGGGAATCCACCACCATTCAAATTGGCTGATATCAGAGCAGCCATTCCTAAACATTGTTGGGTGAAGGACCCATGGAAGTCAATGAGTTATGTTGTGAGAGATGTGGCTGTGGTTTTTGGAATGGCTGCTGCTGCTGCTTATTTGAACAACTGGCTCGTTTGGCCTCTGTATTGGGCTGCTCAGGGAACCATGTTCTGGGCTCTGTTTGTCCTTGGTCATGATTGGTAATGACCAATTCCTTTCATCTCTCTAAATTTCCTAAATTGGTTTGTAAAGTTGTGTCTAGATACATTTGATTATTGCTTTTCATGTTTCAGTGGTCATGGAAGCTTTTCAAACAATCACAAGCTGAACAGTGTTGTCGGTCATCTTCTGCATTCTTCAATCCTAGTACCCTATCATGGATGGTATGCTTCTAAATGAATTACATCTCCTCTAGTCCTCTTTTCTCTTGTACATTTCTCACTGTAGTTTTCTAAAATCATACAGGAGGATCAGTCATAGAACTCATCACCAAAACCATGGTCATGTGGAAAATGATGAATCTTGGCACCCGGTGAGCTAAAATCTATTTACTTCCTTCTTAGCTTTAAAGGGGTAATCTCTTGTCTCTGCTTCCTCACTACCTTGCAATTTCTAATATGAAAAGTTGAATTCTTAAACTTGCAGCTGTCTGAGAAAATATACAAGAACTTGGACCATTTGACCAAGACTCTGAGGTTTACTGTACCATTTCCAATGCTTGCGTATCCTTTCTACCTTGTAAGTCGCTTCTGTTCCCAAAGTTTTTTTACTAGACCTAATTAATGTGAACTCTTGAAAGCTGTTAGTTGAAGGAAGGAAATTGACTTGGTTCATGGTCTTGGAAAAAAAAAAAAACAAATTGCAGTGGAGCAGAAGTCCAGGAAAGACTGGTTCTCACTTTGACCCAAACAGTGATTTGTTCGTTCCCAGTGAAAGAAAAGATATTATCACTTCCACTGCTTGTTGGACCGCCATGGCTGCTTTGCTTGTAGGTTTAGGATTTGTTATGGGTCCAATTCAATTACTTAAGCTTTATGGCATTCCTTATTGGGTAAGCTACAGTTCTTTTGACTATTTAGGGATCAGATCCTTTTTCTTCCTTCCTCTTCACATAGTAAAACAAAGTCCTAATTGAACTTTACTTGGAATTGAAGATTTTCGTGATGTGGTTGGATTTTGTGACTTACTTGCATCACCACGGACATGAAGATAAACTACCATGGTATCGCGGAAAGGTATCATTTTTTCCTCATTTTTCTTTTATTTTTTTCTGGGAAATGAAAGTTTTGCTTAATGAGAATCTTTCTTTACACTTGTTTTATGATTCGTTTATTTTGTGATAGGAATGGAGCTACCTTAGAGGTGGACTTACAACTCTTGATCGTGATTATGGTTGGATTAACAACATCCATCATGACATTGGAACCCATGTCATTCATCATCTCTTTCCTCAAATACCACACTATCACTTAGTAGAAGCAGTGAGTATATCTCTCTCTACTTTTTCTGTGTTATCATAAAATTTTTTATCTTTCACTGATACATTTTTAATGCTTAATTCATTTGTAGACTGAGGCTGCAAAGCCAGTGCTTGGAAAATATTACCGTGAGCCAAAGAAATCAGGGCCTCTTCCCTTTCACCTAATTGTAGATCTGGTTAGAAGCTTGAGGAAAGATCATTTTGTTAGTGACACGGGGGATGTTGTGTACTACCAAACAGACCCTAAGCTCGCTGGCTTCTCTTCTTCATCAAAAAAGTAAAAGCTTTAAACAATTTTTCGTACTTTGAGAACATATCAGAAGCCACACAACACACAGTTCCTTAACTCTGAAGATATTAACTTTGGAGATTGTCTCACTGTCTTGAGTTTGTAATTTCATGGAATTGCCAAGAGGCAAATTTTTCTTCGCTGGAAGAGAGTAGATGCTTATTGCCTAAAGCATTTGGTTGTAATTGTCTGCTACTGAATAAGATTAAGCAGAGTGTATGTACTATTATTGTAGTCTATTCTTCGTCTTCGAGAGTGAAGAATACTTGTAAATTGGCTATTCTTGATGAAGTGCATCAAATTGATGATGTATTTGCAATAATTTAAACCCCAAAATGTTCAATGAAAATTAATTACTTTCGTCCAATTCTAAAAATTTAATAAGTTTCTTAATGGGGGTAAAAAAAGAAACTTCTAATAAAAAGTCAGACATACTTTATAAATAAGAATATAAAAACCCTTCTCTCCCAATTTTATACTGGAGGCCGTACGAGGAAAAAACATCTTAATAATGATGCATTTAACAAGTGTAAACTCAAAATTTATTCTGTTTTAGACAATATTAGGAATAATATAATCACATTCACTAGATTTTGACTAGGTAATTAGAAGTGATTTATATATAATATAACATTCCTAAAAATAGGTGGAACAAAGTGATGAAGATTGAAAAGGACAAGAGCCTTGAGGCAACATTGGGAGGAAGATGCAATCTTGAAATGAAAATGAGAAGAGATACATGGAGTTGAGGGAGGGGTCATTGTCAGTTGCGAGTGTGGTGGATTGGGAAGTGAGTGGCTTCATTGAATCAAAGGCCAAAAGAAAGTATGGCTCCACTGTAAAAGCAGAAGAGTGGCCAATGAGAATGAAGCAAAGAATGTGATTGTGGAGAGTGAAGAGGAACTCACTGTCCGTCTCATATCGGACCACTCACATGCCTCTGTATCCTCCAACCATTTTCTGTCCCAACAAGTTTGTGCCTTTCATCCCTCTCTTTCTCATTTCCTTCCTCATTCTCTCTTTTCTCTTTACAACCATCCCTATCATTTATCAATTTGCATCTTTTATTAGGGAAAATAACAATAATAATAACATTTATATCAAGGGAGGGTGAAAAGTAAAAAAAAAAAATTATTTCAATTATATATCATAACAAATATTAGACTTTAAGGAGACAATAAAAAAATAGAGTCGGAATAGCATATATACAGATGTCGAGATGGATGTATGGACATAAACAAAAAGATTACATGGACATATATAAAGAAGATTGTAGAAAGAGTTGGTACAGAAAATAAAATAAATAATTTTAAATCCTATAAAAAAAAGTAGAAAAAGACAAAAGAGAACACTTACATAAGATGTTAAATGAAACTTTTGGTTAACAATATATTCAAATGTTTGGTTGTTGATGAGCATAATAATATTATGCAATTCATATAATTAACTTCACGTAGTGAGATGAGATTTGTTATTATTATTGTTCCCACTATTTTCATATTTTTTGTAAGATATTTTTTATATTTTTGGCCAACGATTTAATCCATATTTGTATTAACAGTGCTAATGTGATTTTTTAGTTTGAGAGGAACTTTTTTTAAAAAAATTGTAGTCTTAAATAACATTGCTGTATTTTCAAAGGACTGAGGAACTTTTCACGCATTAAAAGGAGGAGAGCACTTCAAGATTTATTCACGATTATATGAGACGGTTTTTTAAAGAATTAAAGTATAACTTACGATGATGCATGTGCTAATAAAAAGATTTGTTATATATCAGTTTTGGTCATGTTAAATAAGTCACGAATATACGTGCTTACTTGATAGTTATAAAATATGCATAATTATAATATGCACAGCAATACTACGAGTTCACTTAATATTAATATGTGTTCACTTGCTTAATTATTAACTAGCTAAATTGATGTTTTTATTTGATATTTATCTTTTGTGGATAAGATATGTTTGCTAACACATCTCAATGTCTTGAAACTAACAATCTCATATGTGATATTCTTAATTTTTACGAATAGGTCTGATGATGAGAATTTAGCAGTAAACACTTTTATTTTTTATGAAAAATTTACTTTTTTTATATGACTATTTAATTGGATCATATTTAAATATTATCAAATCTAATTGAGAGTAACTCCCTCAATTTTTCTTTTTTTTTTGGCATTCTCTTACTTTACTTTACTTTTAGTTATCAAATGGTTATCATTGTCTATTACCAGCAGTATTAATTTAGAAAAACAATTGTTAAGTGGTATAAGTTAAAACAGTCTTTTTATTTATCAACCAACAACATTTCATAAATCCTTTATATAATATATAATTTGACAAATATTCTTTTAAACAGGACAACATGTTCGATTCTTCAACTTCTCCCATAATTGTAGAAAGAAAATTCGTCAGTATTGCACAAAAAACTTGCCCAATCTTTATTATTTAAGTCATGGCGCTGTGTTTGTGTGGTCGAAGGGGCCAAGGAATGGCCCATCTTAGCCCATTATCCATTTTATGTGGCCATAGGCAACTGATTTCGGGCCAATACAAGGGGTTGGCAGGCCTGAGAAAAGAAAATAAAACCAAGCTACTCCATCACATTAAACTGTGACAACAACAAACAATATACTCGTTGCAGTTCAAAATGTATTGAGAAAAATTTATATATCAATAAAGTTATCATTTTTATAAAAATATATATTATTTTTTTTACCTATAGTCTCAATTATCAATATATTTTATGATGAATGAGAAATACATTTAAACAAATATCTAAATTAATAAATATAACAGGTAAAATGAAAAATAAATTTTTACATCTATTAGATTACTTATGTTTTGAATCAAGATTAATTGAAGAAAAATACTTATATTTTTATTCAGAGGAAGTAGTTTTTTTTATAGATGATTAAATTATGATAGAATTATAAACTATTCAAGTTTCACACCATAATTTTTGAGTGATTTGTGTGCAGACCTCAACTAGCATCTTTTGAACATGTTTGAATAAACTTGAATATTATACTGTGGTATAAGGTAATGACCATTTCAATATTATTCTCTGTTTTGTCAACAAGTTTAAAAAAAAAAAGAAGAAGAATCACATTTAAGGATTTGGGAAAACAATGAAAAAAATATAATTTTAAGTTCCTGCATTTTATTTGAGTTTTGTTATGGGTTTTTACATTTTTTTTGATATTTTAGATTCTTACACATTTATTTTTTTAATGTTCGAGGACCTTATAACACTGCTTTCATAGAAGGACCTAGAATATCAAAAAAAGTGCAGGAACCTATAAAAAAATTTGAACAAAATGCAAAGATTCAAAGTTATATTTTTTCAAACAGTTTTTCACAAACAATAACCAATACAGAATTGATTATTGTGAAAAAAAATATGACTTGTTTTTTTTAATAGAACTTGTCATTGATCTTTTTCTATAAAGAATTTTTTTTCCTGATCCTTGATTCTAACTTAAAAAAATGCTCATGCATTTCCTGTGTTTTTCTCCACATTTTTTTAAATAGCGTTTACATTGTGAAATGCTTAAATTAAAAGCAAAATTGATTTATTAAAAAAATCTGGCATTCTTGAATGAGTTTTATAAGAAGAGGTCAAATGGTAAATCATTTTCAACCAACTTTCCCACAGTCAAATTAATTAATTGTCCACAAAAGCAACTTACATGCTAAGTTACCTATTCTAAATGATATTATCAACTTTATCAAAACTAAACCCACTTATTATATATATAATCGTTTCTCTAATCAATTCAATCAAGACTTATGATGAATAGGTAGTTAATTATTTAATTAACCACGATCAGTAAAATGGAGAAATGTGCGACGGATTACTTAAGAATTAAAAGAAAAACTAAGTCAACTAATTACCAATTCACTGTGGGCGAAAGACAAAGTATTATAATTTTCATTAGATCAACTAATCTAACAAAAAGGGGTTGGCCCAAAAAAATAATCTAAGAAAAGGTCAAATAAAAATGTGATGCCTAAGATGTGAACAAGTTGATATGAAATTAAAGTTATAACTTTTTTCCAATTACAATTTAGTTTAAGAGAAGAAAGTGACATTCATTCAACTGTAGATGTCTTGCGTGCATGTATATAAATTAAAGATGGTATGTACCATTTTAATAATTCGTTAAACATAATTTTGATTGACCTGGTAATTAAATTAATCAGAAAAACAACAAGAGCATTGTAATGCCCCTCAAACCATAATATTATATTGTACTAGCTATCTCTCATCTAGTTTTTTTTTTCATCTTTTTTACTCATAATTTCTTAAAAAAAAAAAGAAGAAGAAGAAGAGAGAATGAAAATGAGGAAAAAAACAAAGAAACTGATGACTGATGAGTAGTGCTCTTATTTGTGGTACATGCCACCAAATCAGAGGACAAAGAAGATCCACTAAACTTTGTTCACACTATATTCTGTCAGCGGAGAAAGAGACAAAAATAAATAAATATAAATGTCATGGTTTAAGGTATTGGTTCAATTTTGCGAGTTCGTTGGGAGACTGAGACAAAAATGATATCCATATGAAAATTCTATCAATAATATATATATTATCTTAAAAATTAGATCCATAATAAATCAACTAAAGGATGAGTGACTTATAACTCAGTTTAATAAAAAATTAAAGATAATTTTGATAAACATTCTATACGAATATATGATCTTAAACAATATTTCGTGCAATGGTTTTTTTTTTAATTTTCAAATATCATAAGCTCATGCCAAAAAATATTATAAGTTTATATTTCATATTATCATTGTTATTCTTAAAAAATTATTTATGATCATTTTGTGATACTTCATTTGAAACACATCTTTAGTTTTATCATCAAATTATTGTATCATGCATAATATATAGATTGAATTACACAAAACTTCCCTATACTGAGTCATGTAGAAATATAATCCCTTGTGCCTTTGATTTAAAACTCAATAAACTTCCTAAACTTTTAAGACTCTGGAGAAAACCCATAACTATATATTATTTACGTACCCTCTTAAAATGATATATGCAGATATAACACCTGTAAATTTTAATCCATGCGCACATAAATAATAAACAAACTAATAACAAAAGAGTTATCTACATAAATATAAAAGCTCATGAGATTTGTTGTAAAATTCCAAAGATTATAGAGATTATTTATTTACATAAGATGAACTGTAGGGAGTTATATATGCAAAATTTAACTTAATATATATTATCTCTATAACATGATTGAAGGATTTGGT